CATGGTGGCCACATGTGCAAATACAATTAAGATATGAGAAAGATGCAAGAATGTATGTTTTTTATAAAGAACCAATGGAATTAGATCAGATACTACTAAGGACAGATGAAAAATTAATTTAAAATGTATAACCATTTGTTGAGTATTAAAATGGAAGAAGAGCAAGTGAAAGAAACAATAAGATGGGCTAAAATTTTTGGTCATCCAGTAGAACTAGATAAATGGCAGAAATTGTGGGATAGAAACTGCAAACTAACAATGTCAATGGCATATAAGGAAAATGTATACAAAATGTTTTATAGGTGGCACCTACCACCAGCGAGACTAGCAAAGATGTACAAAAACTTATCAGCTAAATGTTGGAAGTGTAATCAGATATCAGGTTCATATTACCACATGTGCTCAAAGGCAAAAAAAATACTGGACTAAAATACATACTTGGTTAGAAAAAATGATAAAGCAACACATAGATTTGAAACCAGAAATATTCTTGTTGGGTATATTAACAAGGGAAAACATTTAATTTTACATGTATTAACGGCAGCAAGAATTGCGTTTGCACAACAATGGAAAAATGAAGAGATCCCTACAGATAAAAGTGTTATAAAAATATTAGAATGTGCTGAGATGGATAGATTAACACTTATAATAAAAGGAAGAAACAGAATACTTTTTAACATGGAACTTGTTTTACCAATGGTTAACTAACAGAACAGAGGTTAGAACCTAAAAAGACCAAAAAGATAAGAATTTTTTTTTGTATTGAACATTTTATAAGATGGACAAATTAATTGTATGATTATTTTGTGATTAATATTGATATGTCTATTATGATTATGATTAATGTTGTATCTCTACTTAAAACAGTGCCCAGACAACACGCTGTTCAGACAGATGTGGAATTTTTTATGTGTATTAAAAAAATGTATCAATAAAACATATAAAAAAGAATCGTAATGTTTGCTTTTCAACCACTTTTGGGTTCTCTTAGATAATGGGTCTTCAAACTTGACAGCTTTAAGACTTGTGGACTTCAACTCCCAGAATTCCTCCTTCAGTCATGTTAGCTCAGGAATTCTGGGAGTTGAAGTCCACAAGTCTTAAACTTGCCAAGTTTGAAGACCCTTGTCTTAGATGTATATTTTAGGTCATTTTCCCTGCTGAAAGACCCAGGATCTGTGACTGAGACAGAACTTTCTAACATTGTATTGTTTGACTCCAGAATGTCTTGATAATCTTGATTTCATAGTGCCCAGCAACAATTCAAGACATCTGGTGCTGGAGACAGCAAAGCAACCCCATAATATTATGGACCCTCCTCCCATGTTTTACAACAGGGATAATTTTCTTTTCTTTAAAAGTATCACTTTTCTTTTGTGAGCCTAGATCTGCTGTAACTTACCGAAGAGCTCTAATTGTGCTTCATCTCTTCAAAAGGACATTCTCCTAGGATTGTGGCTTCTCAAACCCCAGTCTGCCTTTTTGTGTGTGTCTTTCAAAAATGGGGTCTTCTATCATGGATACTACTTTCAGATAACGGTGGATGGTGCAACTTGATATTGTTGTACTATTTTAAAAGCAACAAAAATAGAATCTAGCATAAGCAGCCTTTAGATCAGGGGTGTCAAACTTTATTTCATTGAGGGCCACATCAGGGTTGTGTTTGGCATTTGGGGGGCCAGGGTAGGCGTGGCCAGCTCATCACTTGTGTTGGGGGTGCCTGTGGTGGCCTGAGTGCTCTGCCAACGAAAACGGGCTCCCAAGCTCCATTTTCACTGGCAGAGGCACCATCGGCCAGTCCTTTGCTGTTTCCAGGGCAGCCCTGCAGGCCAGATCTAAGCACCTCGTGGGCCGGATTCAGCCCCCAGGCCTTGAGTTTGACACCCCTGCTTTAGAAACTGGGTAGAAAGATTTGTCTGGACAGGTCACAAATTTTAACAGCATCTGTGGAGTTGCCTGACACCTGACACTTTCTGGAATTGCAACTTTGAAAGTACTGGACAACAAAAAATAGGGTGAGTTGGAATCCTGAAAGCTTCAAGTAAACACATCAGGAAAGCACAAAGCTGGAGACAGCTATGTTACTGTACTATTTTCATGGTCAGCTTTTTAAAGGTTCATTTTCTCATCCAATTGGGGTCCATCCATATTTTTTTACTGTTCTGTACATGGCCAACCCTTGCTTCCATGTCTTACTTCAAGAGTTATCAATAGCAACTTCTGAATTCTGCTTCACACACACACACACACACTCATCCCGTTCATTAAATTTGTCACACACCAGCACTATTGAGCCCATCTACAAGGTGGTCCACCTTGCAGAGTCCCTAAAACCGATGACTTAAGTTCACACAATACACTAAGCTACAATCAGAGGTGGTATTCAGCAGGTTCTGACCAGTTCTGGAGAACCAGTAGCGGAAATTTTGAGTAGTTCGGAGACCCGGCAAACGCCACCTCTGACTGGCCCCTCCCCCATCTCTTTTCTGCCTCCCGAGTCCCAGCTAATTGGCTGGGTCTTCTTTGGTTGCCTTGCACAGGAGAACGGAGCTGGAAAGCAGGTTAGTGGGGTGAGGAGGGAATAGAGTTTTTGCAGTAACCTTCCCCCAGGAGTGGGGAGGGAATGGTAGTAACATTTTTTGAATCCCACCACTGGCTACAATATGTTGATGAAGATTCTCAGTCATGTAGTAGTACTGTCTAGAAGTTAAGTCATGGCAACTGGCCTTATTTTCTTGGGGTTTTTTAGATGTTTCGCTGCCCATTCAAGCAGCTCCTTCAGTCTGAGCAAGTTGGTTAGGGGAATCTGAGTAGGTGGAATGTTGTTGGAATGTACCAACTACTGCACCAATTTCAGATTTCTTCCCCAAAATGTGTGGCAATACATCAATGAAGATACTCAGTCATCCAGGTAGAATTGGGTTCTACCCTTAGGGCTTCTTCCTTAAAGTGCATGGCAATTCTACATGAATGACTGAGAATCTTCAGTGATTCACTTTGGGGAAGAAACCTGAAATTGGTGCAGGAGTAGCCCTAAGAATTTTAGGAGTTGGTATTTCCAACAACTCTCTACCTACTCAGATTCCCCTAACCAACTTGCTGAGACTGAAAAAGCTGCTTGGATGGATAGCAAAACATCTCAAACCAAACAAAGAAAAATAAGTCCAGTTGCCATGGCTCAACTTCCAGACAAAGCCATGATGCTATTTGTGATTTAATTTGGCACTTTGTGTGAACTCAGCCACTTTCTACTTCATTTTTTTTTTCAAAAAACCCTGAAGGACATATTTCAGGAGTATTCTCCATCCAAAAGCAGTTTCTTTTCATATGTACCTTATTCCTTCATTCATTCCCTGCAGATCGAGAAAAGTCAATGCAAAACACTTCAAAACTGTTACTGAGAAAATCAGAGACATCTCCATTAAGCAATCAGCAATCAAATGTGACTAAGAGGAGGCTTATATGTGAAACTTGATGATTATCAAGCATTATACAGATAGTCTTTGCTTACTGATCATTCATCCAGCAACTGTACAACCATACAAGGGTGCTTGAAAAAATAACTTTATAGCTTATTTACAACCATTATTGACTTATGTGGTGTGCCTCAGTCAAATGATTGTCATTAGATTCAACAAAAATTGTTTTCTTCTTACAGATTTTCCCCCTTGCAGAATAGAGAAATTGGAAAGGGGTTTCAAGAGAGTAAGCTGTTTGCTCTTCTACACATCAAAATCAATGTGATCACAATCTCTCCTTTGTCTGATCCTTTCTCCCACTTCTGCAGGGGAGATTGGAGAGGAAAAGATTTCAAAAAGGAAAAATTGGTTTGTTCTTCTACATATTGATAGCCTAGCAGCAGGAATGGGTCGCGCAAAGGAGAGATTGACCATAGAAATCACTTTTTCATTCCACCCCCATCAGAACAGAGACTGGACAGAAACAATTTCAAGAGAGCACTGTAAGCTGTTTGCACAAAACATATGTAGCATTCAAACTTCAGGCTGTGGTGCAATCACATTACTTTCAAGACAGTAAGATGGCACTCCAGTATTTAGGGAGTGGTTAGGAGGCAAACAAATGGACAGGGTGGCTCAGTGGCTAAGACACTGAGTTTGTCAATCAGAAGGTTGGCAGTTCAGCAGTTCAAATCCCTAGCACCACATAATGGAGTGAGCTTGTCCCAGCTTCTGCCAACCTAGCAGTTTGAAAGCATGTAAAAAAAAATGCAAGTAGAAAAATAGGGACCGCTTTGGTGGGAAGGTAACGTTCTGTGCGCCTTTGGCATTTAGTCCTGCTGGACACATGACCATGGAGACGTCTTCGGACAGTGCTGGCTCTTTGGCTTAGAAACGGAGATGAGCACGGCCCCTAGAGCTGGAAACTACTACCATGCATGTGCAAGGGAACCTTTACCTTTATCTTTAGATTGCAAACAAAACAAAACAAAGATGTCAAACTGACTCTTCTTGTCTTTTTCTGACTGAAAAGCAATTGTAGTGATGTGACTTTGTGGTCATCTCATTTAGGGATCATTTTGCTGAGTGGCAGAGTTGCTGGCACCAATTAGGTCTTTAAGCGACTACTGTAAATGTAAAGAAATATCTTCATTTAACTCCTTATTTGCCAATCAAGGCAGGGAAATTAGTTCAAAGCCAAAGGATGCCTGACAAATATTCATTTTACCCCAAAATAAACAAGCTGCTTCGTCCCACCTTTCAGTTTTTATTAATTTTACCCCAAAAGAGTCATGTACCTAGATTGAGTGGGGAGAGGGGTTAAGCAAAAGTGAGGCTTGCTCCATACCCAAGGAAAAAGGGGCAGGAAGAACTGAGGGGATGAGTTCCATCCCCACCTCAAAGATTTCTCAAGGAAAGTCTAGAAGCCTGTTGGGTGTTCAAGCCCATCTGATGCCTATGGTCAGCATCAGATCTTCCATCTAGTAATGGTTACAGCAAAAGGGTTTATTACCTTTTTCTCCCCCTGCATCACCACTGGATTCAAACAACTGAGTACTGGTTGTTCACAGCCCTGAATTGCCCTTCTGACTCCTCTGGTAGAGGAAGGGATCCCCTGACTCTCACAGATGCTCCCTCATCCACCTCTGGCTCCATCTGGGCCTCCTCCTCCTCAGTCTGCCCATTACACTCCAGCAATCCATGGTCCAGAGGAGTATGAGGTGACCAGGCTGGAGGGAGAGGAGGTGGCAGTGGCAGGTTACGAGAGATGCTTAGCTCTGTGGAGGGAGAGAAGAGACAGATGGACAGACAGAGAGATAGGATGGTCTGGGATTAAGGCAGGAAGAGGGAGTAATCACTGAGAGCCAGTATTATTTCAGCAAGATACTCTCCATTAACAATTTCAGCATCAACTATATTACGGTATCCAATGCTTATCAAATGCAATCATTCAGGAATTAATAAAGGAGAATATTTGTAGCTCAGGGTTGACATGAGGGGTCCTTGGTGCTCTCTGAGCTTGCTTGTTTCATTACCCAAACTAGGTAACTAGCACTGATGATGTTATCAAGTTAGGGTAATGAAACGTCTGCAAGAAAACAAACAAACTCAGAGAGCACCAAGGACCCCTCTCATTCAAGAATTGTCTGGAAATGGTTTTATTGTTTCGATTTGGTTTCTAAAACCTGTTTTCTTCAGTAGTCCCTGAATGAAATCAAGTTACTATTGTTGAAAGACTGTATAAAGACAGGGGCTGGTTATTATGCCTCGGGGCTGTGCTCCACATTTTAAAAAAGCTACACCAACATAGGTGTTTTCTATAAGCCCATTATAATATGCAAAATTGGTGTAAAGCAGGGGTGTCAAACTCAGGGTCCACGGGCCAGATGCGTCCTGCGGGATGCTTAGATCTGGCCCATGGGGCTGCCCTGGAAACAGCAAAGGACCAGCCTGCGGTGCCTCTGCCAGGGAAAATGGAGCTTGATGTGCGACCCTCCCAAGCTGTTTTCACTGGCAGAGGGTTGCAGGAGGCTGTCGCAGCCGAAAACGGGGATCGGGAGCTTGTTTTCTCTGGCAGAGCACTTGGGCCACCACAGGCATCCCCGACACGAGTGATGTCAAGCTGACCACGCCACCCCAAGCTCAAACACAAACCTGATGCGGCCCTCAATGAAATCGAGTCTGATACCCCTGGTGTAAAGCATTGTGCTTATGCATAAAGTGAGCTTAAATCATTTGTAGACAAACTTTTGGTTAGGCAAATTCCTATTCCAGGAACCTTGTGTAAACTGATCATACTGGATTGCACACTCTGCATATGCATAAAAGCACGACTGTTTTACACAAGTGCAAAAATGGGCGCATTATGTTTTGAACTCTATCCTTAAAATCAGGTTTACTTTAGCCAGGACTTACAGTATGTGGGCCAGAAATTGTTTGAACTAGATTATTATGAGGACTATCACCTACTCAAAACAATCTTACCTATTTAATTTTAGGTGTTTTTACTGTCAGTCTACAGTTAGTGCATTTTAAGGACATAAAGCTCTTTGAACTATCATTCAACAAGATGAAATCCTAAGCTATTGTAATGTTTTAGGGTTTTTTCTTATTTGAGAAATACCACTCAGAGACTGTAATTCCAAATATTAATAGAAAAAGGTTGATAATTATGGAGAGATGGAAGGCATGATAAATGCAGCATTGAAATTCCTATCCATTACTCTATACCAGTGTGTCTCATCCTCAGCAACTTTAAGGGGTGCGGACTTCAACTCCCATAATTCCATAACTGTCTGGCTGAGGAATTCTGGGAGTTGCAGTCCATATATCTTAAAGTTGATAAAAGTTGAGAAACAGTGCTCTGTATACTTCTCACATAATATTGGCAACATACTGTGAAATATGAGCATTAGAACACGATTTTCCAAAGAAGAGAGAATTTCAAATACTTCTAAAATTTGAAGGGATTCTTCGTGCATTTTATGCTGGCAATATTAGATAATTCATTCAATAAACTACTTTAAGGAATGGCTACATATACCAGGTTAAACCATAATATGATTTGTTTTGTCCTAGTGTGCCATGAAACTCCAACCTACATAATTAATGCTGAATATTCTACTGTTTAAAGCTGGACAAACTGACAATTTTTAAGAGCAAAAATGTCCCTTACAAATGTCATGTGCTATTTCAGAAATACCAGTATGTTGTACCTTTCTTTTCTCTCCTCTATGAGACAATACCTATGCAATATATAGTACCTACCTTATTTCTATATCACCGAGGAGCTATAAGACTTTTAAATTTTGGACACCTTCCTTTGTTTCATAGTGGGGACAAAAATTAAGGCAATCATGCTGTCCATTTTTTCCTCTCAATTGCCCTAATAAACTTTTCTCCAACCTAGAATTCATTAGATATCTTGGATTATAACTCTCATTAACACTAAGCAAATGGGGAATCCATCTTGAAGGATCTGATTGATGGAAAACTGGTTTAATAAATAGTATTCTTCATGTTACATTATAACCCTGCTGTGTGTGTGTGTGTGTGTGTGTGTGTGTGTGTGTACGTGCGCACGTGCATCAGAGAGGGAAATATCACCAAATTCAAGACTGTTTCAGCCACCTGAGTTAGTAAATTTCTAGAAGAGGGGAGTAGAAGAGGCAGCAGTGCTATTATTTGGAGATTGGGTAGATAATCCTTAACTTTGTGTTGTCCATCACAAGTAAGGCTTTTCTGCAGAGGTCTGCTATATCTAATACAATTAAATTATAAAAGGAGTTGCCCAAATGATAATTGAAACAATAGTTCTAAGATCTCTCTCTGCAGAACACTAGAAACTGCCTTATGCCAAACCAGACTATGGTTCCGTTCAGCTGGGGAAATTATTAGCTTCAGGTTTCTGTATAGAAGCCTTACTTAGTCCTACCTGGAAATGCCAGAAGGAGCCCCTGAAATCTCTTCCCTGCCTCCTGGTGTCAGACACAGTGGATGGTGTAGACACTGCATTCACATGACCCATGGATAGTGATGGCTATGGCGTGCGGGCCGTGACACATGCACACACACGGTCATATCCCTGCTTTCTTCCTGTGGTTGCTATTGCACACTTACACGCAGTCACCCACGGAGCCAGCAGCAAGGATGGAGATGAGGTTGGGGGGCGAGTCAGGGTCCCCACTGAACCCAGACACTGGCACTCGGCTCCCAGCCCGGTCCTGGCGTGTGACAGAGATGCCCACATCAGAAATAGGGATTGGGGGTGAGGAAGAGAGGGAGCAGTGAACATGGGGATGAAGGGGTTTATCCTCTCTCCTGCTACATGCATGCTGCATAGGGTTGGAAGAGAAGACAGGATGGATAAGGAGCAGGGTAACAAAGGAGGGGCAGACTGGAACGACAGTGGAAAAAGATGGAGGGAGATGCAATAGTGTCTATGCTCTTTCCACCCCACAGCCCCACTTCATCCTACACTCACCATGCAGCCTTTGTGAAGCAACCACGTAGCTGACAAGCGTCACATCACTGGAGCCCCCTGATTCGAGGGGGATGGGGTGGACCTGGAAGTGCTCCAGCATGTCAAAAATAGTCTGGAACCAGAGATGCTGAACACACCACTGCCCTTCTTCATTCAGGGACAGACGCAGATGCTAGGGGTAGGAAAAGGAGGCTGGGTGGGAAACTACTCCTGAACCAGATTCCATCCTATCCTGTCCCAAAGCCTCCAAGTCTTGAGGCAAGATGGGAGGCAAAGAAATCTAATAAAAAAATAAGCACCATTTGATAGATTCCCTCCACTACACTCACCTTGGCTTTCCCCTGGAAGTTAAAGGTCAGGACGTATTCACCCTGCCGTGTCTCACTTTGACACACTAGGAAGATGCCATGGCTGTTTGCTCCTCCTGCCAACACCAACTGGGCAGCTTTGAGATGGGACAGGGTTCCATGGAACCATGGGTATTCAGAGAGTGGGTGCTTAGTGTCACCAAGACTACCCCCGCCTGGGTCGGGGTCCCCTTGGAAGAGGAAGGAACCTGAGCAAGGAGAAAAGCAACAGAAGACGCCAAAGCTCACTCAGAGGAATCTGGATCTCGCTTCCACAACATTCAACCCAAGAAGACTCTGAATTTACATGTCCCAAGGGAAACCTTGACTAGATGGCATACAATTTCAGAGGTTATCTCAGAAGAAAGTTCAGGCTAAGTGATATAAACCCTGCCCACTTTGGGCTTGTCCATAGGGTTTGCCAACTATTGTTTTTCCTGCACCATTATGCCATTCTGAATAGGAGCTCCAGCAGGGGGGGGGAAAGATTCCTCTGGTCCTCCTCAAATCTAGACCAACCACCAACTCATCCCACTTCAACACATTACCTGTGGTTTCAGGGGTTTGGGGGAAAGTTGTATGGAGGAAGCCAATGGAAAATTTCCCTTCATTGACTGGCACCTGAGGCAGCAACTGAGGAGGAGGCAGCTCCATTGCAGCCAAGTGTGAGGCAGCAATAGAGACTGAGCTGGGAGACATGGAGGCTGAGGGGCGTTCCATCAGTCCATGGTAGGCACCTGGAAAGGAAATGTTACAAGCTGGGCTCAGCTGGAAAATCAAAATCATAGGAAGCTCGCTTCCCATTATTCAGTATACTGCTTATAAGCGCTGTGTGCTTAGAGCATAAAGCATTGTTAGAAACCAAACAGACCCACGTCACAGTCGGTTTCTGTTGCTCCCCCCTGGGAGGAGGTTTCAAAGTATTTCTAGCAGGACAACCAGATTCTGTAAGCTTTGTTCCTTATGCCATCCATCTTTTAAACTCACAGGACTTTTTTTTTTGCCAGGTATATGTATACATCTGAACTAGACTGATGTTTCTCTGCGTCATATATGTGTGTGTATGTGGGTATATGTATAATGGTTTATCTTTTGAGAGCTGAATGCAACGAAATTTCATTTATGCTGATTAGTGTTAATTTAAAGTGACAATATTCAGTGGTGAGTTTCCAAATTTTTTCCTACCGGTTCTGAGAGTGCACTTTGCGCACACACTCAGGGCTCAAAGACCACCCTCCATGTCAACGATGGTGAGCTGAGCTGTTTTTTAGCTCAGCTGAGGCACGGCAATCTGCTCTGCTGCGTGAATCAGCTGAGCTACAAAACAAGGGAATATAGGAGAGGTAACGGCAGGGGCGGATGGGCAGGGCCAACCAGAGGTGGTATTTGCCAGTTCTCCGAACTACTCAAAATTCCTGGTACCAGTACACCAGAACTGGTCCGAACCGGCTAAATACCTCTGACAATATTCCATTCCATTCCATTCTTCCTGTTCCATCTTCTAAAAACCAGGTCACTTCCTCTTCCAAGGTTCACAGCTGCACTTTGTACCTATACTCCAAAGGAGGAGGTGTCTGCCACCTCCTCAAGAGAGCACACACTTTGGAGGGCAGGGCTGGCATCGTGGTGAGAAGATGGCGATCCCTTGAGCTCCAGGGAAAGCCGCTGAAACCCCCACAGCTGGACGGTCCAAGAGGACCTGTACCATCCCGGAGAGATGGTAAGTGAAGGGAGCACATCCTGTCGATCCCAGGGACATCGCAAAGTCCCTGGTGTTTAAAAGATAATTTTTAGAAGAACTTTAACTTTTTAACCTAAAAAAACTGGACTATTTTTCCCTTTTACTTTCACCTTCTTAAATTAAATGGATACAATATAACTAAAACAAAAAACTAAGCAACACTGCCATCTAGAGGTCACATAAAATTGGAAAATTTTAATAGACATCAAAGATCAAATTGTTTTGACTACAGGCTGTTTAGAAGAAAAGAAGATAGAGGGTGAGCACTGAAAACAGGTGCTGCTCTCACAGACTTTGTCAACAGCTGGAAAGTTAAAATAGAAGAAAAAAGATTACTGTGACCTTGGACAAGATGTATGTTTTTGGCTTTGGCTTTCTGGTTTGTTGGACATTATATTGAGGCATTGGCTTAGTTTGTGACTTAAATTCTAAACAACAGCTGGCAATTTCAAATTGTTTCCTTTTTTTCTTTGCTTAGTTTTTTTTTATTCTGCTGGTGTGCGCTTTTGGGCCTTTTTGCCTTTTAACATTTGGTTTGAATTTGGAACACTGTTTTCTATTTTCTCTTTATTCCCTTATTTTTTTCATTAACAAGTGGATTACAATTGGATGTGTTTTTTTTCTTCTTCTTTTTCTTCTTCCTTAGAAGCTGGTGGATTTGTATTTTTGAATTATTTTTCTTTTTTCCTTTTCCTGTTGCTATATTAGATTTTCTTTATTTTTTCTTTATTTTTAATTTTCCCTTTTTCTCTTAAATCTTTTTATTCCTACTCCTTTTTTAATATAATTGGATTAAGGTAGAGAAGAACCTGAAGATTTTATTTTTGATCTTTTGCAAGTGGATTATAATCAACCTGAGATGAGAAAGACAATTGCCATTGGATCATCGATCCCCACCTCCTCATTGCTGAGCCCAGCTGGTCAATGATCCATAACAACCAGGTTGCAACAGGAGAGAGAGAAGGAAAAGGAGATTTCAATGCAAGAATTAAAATTAATACTGCAAGCAGTACAAGACCAAGGGAAGCGTACAGGTGATAGGATTGGAAAGATGGGACAGAAGATGGGAAGGAGGGAAGATAAAATGGAAAACATACAACAAATAATGATGAAAAATTAAGAAAGAATGCAAAAGATGGAAGAAAGAGGTGAACAGACAGAAGAAAGTAGGAGAAATAGATAACAGATTGACAGCAGTTGAGCACGAAAAGGGGAAAGAGACGATACCCTGGGAGATGGACAAGGAGGATTTCTATTAAAGATTTCAAAATATTGAGGAAGACAAAGGAGAAAACCTTGTAGAAATTATGACAGAAGTCCTGGCAGGAGCCTTGGAAGTATGTAAAAAAAAATAATGGATGGAATGGATGAAATATTCCGAGTATATACTAGATATGCTATAAGGAATAAATTACCTAGAGAAGTCCATGTAAGATTTACCAAGAAAACAATTAGAACAGAGATACTACAGAAAACAAGAGATGACCCCTTGAAGTATAAGGAGAAGGAGATCAAGGTCTTAAAACAAGTACCAAGGAAAGTGAGAGATTTGAGAAGAGAATATCAATTCTTGACAAAGATTTTAATTAAGAAAGACGTGAACTATAGATGCCTGATACCTGAAGGCTTGATGTTCATTTGGTAGGAACAAAGGCATAGGTTGGATTCAGTTGAGAAAGCAGAATTATTTTATGATAAATATTTTAGAGGGAAAGCAGATGAGAGAGCAAGAGAGGAGGAATTTAAAATATGAGCGGAGATGGCTAAAGAACTGGATAAATAAAAAAGAGAAGAAAAAGGACAAGGAGGAGGAGCAGTAGGTGGTAGGGTGGAACTTAAAGAACCAAGAGAACAAAGAACAACAAGAGCAATAAACACTACATATAAAGTATAAACAATGGAAGAAGAAAAGAAATTAATCTCCATAAATATAAATGGATTGAATTCAGCTATTAAAAGAAAAAAGACATTTCATAAATTAGAAAAATTAAAGATGGACATAATTTGCTTACAAGAAGTGCATATTAAAAAGCAACATGCACATCTTTTGAATTGTTCTAGAATTGGCAATCTATATACATCATTGGCACAACAAAATAAGAGAGGAGTAGTTTTATACATTAAGAATACGATTAAAGCCAAACTAATTTTTACAGATGAAGAAGGGAGAATACTGATGGTGGAAACAACAGACAATAACTTAAAGATGCTTTTAAGAGCAACAAATAACAAACAAGATGAATTCTACAAGAAATTACATAACAAGATAACTGAATTGGAATACAATAAGATATGCATTCTTGGAGATTTTAATGCTATTGTAGATACAGAATTGGACTATAAAACACAGAAAGTGAATAAAAAAAATAGAAAGACATTGCTGAAATCTTTCTTTCAGATGTTTAAGGAATTGAGCATTAAAGACATATGGAGAGAATTGAACAGTAAAAATAGACAATATACATTTTACTCCAATAGACATTTGTCATGGTCAAGAATAGATATGATTTGGATGTCAACGGATTTAATTTCAAATATACAAAAAGTTAATAATGAAACAAGTACTTGGGCGGACCATAATCTAATATGGGTCAAATGGAATGGTCAGACGAAAAGATCAAGATGGTCTTTGAATAATTCAATCCTGAAGGAAAAGGAATTCATTAATAACCTGGGGAAAGAATTGACTTTCTTTTAAAAAGAAAATAAAAAGGAGGAAACTTCACTACAAAATGTATGGGATTCTATGAAGGCCTATGCCAGAGGCGTGATTATAACTTATACAAGAAGAAGGAATATTAAAAAAAGACAAACACAACAGATCTTAGAAGAAGACTATAAGAAATTGGAAAAGGAACTACAACGAAACCCACAGCATAAAAATCTTAAAAATCAAATGGATATAATCAAACATAAAATGGGACTAATGGAAAAAGAAGAACTTGCACAAACAATTAGGAGAGCTAAACAGAACTTTTTTGAAAATGCAAATAAGCCAGGTAGATGGTTAGCATACAAACTGAAAAAAGAGAGACAACTGAAAAGAATAGCACAATTAACAGATGAAAATCAAACGTTATGTTATGGAAGTGAAGAAAAGAAAAAAATAGTGGAGAAGTACTATGAAAAATTATAAGAGCAAGAGACAATCGCAGAAGGGAAAATTTAGCAGTATCTGAGAGAGGCAGAATTACCAAAAATACCTGACGAAACTAAGATAATGATAGAAGAGAGAATAACAGTGATGGAATTGACAGAAGCAATAAATAGACAAAATACTGAAAAAGCCCCAGGTCCAGATGGGCTACCAGCATTACATTACATTACAGGAATCAATTTGTACTATAATGCTTGAAGTAATGAATGTGAGAAAAACAAAAGAAAATACTAACGGACAGATTAAATATCCAGATCACAAAAAAAGTGAAATACTTAGGGATACAAATGACAGCAAGATGTGGAACGCTTAAAGAGGATAATTATGATAGATTGAAACAACAAATTGCAACAGACTTGGAAAAATGGAAATGCTTACAACTATCCTTAACAGGGAGTATAGAGATGATTAAAATAAACATACTGCCAAAAATATTATACTTATTTCAGATGATTCCAAAAAAACTGAGGAAAAAATATTTTGAGGATTTAAATAAAATGATGCTGAAATTTATTTGGCAAGGAAAGAAAACAAGAATTAAGATAAAATTGTTGCAGGACACAAGAATGAGAGGCGGCTTTGGACTACCCAATTGGGAATTATATTATCAAGCAGTAATATTGATCTGGATGAAAGAATGGATTGTATTGAAAAATGTTAGACTGTTAACATTGGAAGGTCATGATTTGCAATTGGGGTGGCATGCATTTTTATGGTATAGTAAAAGAAAGACACATGGATATTTCCGGAGACATTATATCAGGGACGCTCTATTAACAGTATGGGAGAAAATAAGGGAGTATCATTATATGAAAATACCAGTCTGGTTATCAACAATAGAGGCATTTGCATATCTAAGTGTTTTTAAAATGGAACATACTATCAGATATGAGGAAATTTTAAATG